AAGTGTCTGAAACATGTATAACTGAATAAATGAAGAGATGTAGTTAGAATGTTATAGGGATGGATAATTTACCCAGTAAAGAAAGATGGCAAGACTTGGAGTGCTTGACTCTTTGGGCATTAAAAGTGTGGAGGCTCTTTACGAAAAATGCTGAAGTATCAGGGATTGTAGGGGGCTTTGAGAGCTTTCTCATTTTGATGTTGAGTAGAATCAAGACCCAGAGAGGGAAAGCAATGAGGTCAAGGACACAAAGTAATTGAAAGACAGGATTAAGGTTAGAACCAAGGTGCCCTCCCCACCAGAATGTTTCTACCCCAATCTCTCCATGGGTGCTCTCCACAGGAATAAGGGAGAAAATGAGGCAGAGTCCAGACCTGTGGTTCAAGCACTGGGCTTGGGAGGAGAAGAAGAAAATAAGCAACACTCTGAAGGCCCCTTTGGACATCAGCTAGATGCCTGGAAGCTCCCCAGGGCAGAGAATGGACAAAGATGAACCTCACTAAAGGTTAAGAGATATAAGAAAAAGAAGGCACCGTAATTAATAACCATCAGCAATGGATTGTGTTGAGTGAGCATTGAGACACCTATTGATCAGAGAAGTAAACATGAATTGCTGGCAAGTGTCCCTCTGGCCCTGGGTCAATATGCTTCCATATACAAAGAGGCCAGGAGCTGTTGCCGATACTGGGGATGTCTTAATCAGGGTGACTGAGAAAGCTCATGCTTCTCAAAAAGATAACTACATTATGAGCTACTCTACTGTAATGCTCTATTCATTCATTCATTCATTCATTCAACATATTTGTCAAGCCTCTTGGAGGTACTGGGATAAAGTAATGAACAAGAGGCAATCCTTGCCCTGATGGGGCTCACGGAACAAACAAATAGACAAGATAATTTCAGGTAGCTTTGAGTGCTGTGAAGAAAGTCACATGAAAGGGGCAAATGGAGAATGGGTGGAGGAGGCTAGTGTCTAGGTGAAACTGGACATTTGAAGATCAGCTCTCTGAGAAGGTGACATCTGTGCTAAGGTCCTAATGAATAGAAGGAGCCAACTCCATGAACACAGTGGGGAGGGTGGTTCAGACATAGGGAACAGCATGTGCAGGGACCCTGAGATGGAAATGAATTTGGGATGTGGAGAAACAGAAAGGACACTGGAGGAGAGTAGCAGGGGATGAGGTCGAAAAGGTGAACAGGGGCAAGGCTGTGGGGCAATTTTTTTCTAGAGTTAAGAGCTGGATTTGTCTTAAGTGATGAGGCCATTAAAGGCCAACTAGTCATACCCTTCCAGTGTGGGCACCTTGGCAATGAGATGTTCACTTGGAGTAAGGGACACATTCTTGGATGGAGTCTTGTAGACCCAGCCCCACCTGAGCATGGGACCCTGGGCCAGCCCCTCCCATCATAGAACCTCCATCTCGTAACCTTCCAGCTCCATCTTTCTGTCCTTTCAAGGGCATGGGATGCAAATATGCCACCTCAGTACATCTTACTCATTTGCATGTGGGAAAACCCTGACAACTAGGCTATGAGGCTCTGGCTTTTCCCTTTTCTGACTCCCAGGTATCTCAAATGCTGGAAGTGACTTGGGGAAACCAACTGGTCTGACCCAATCCATTTTGGGAACTAAACTATGGAGGTTTTAGCCAGCACAGACCCGTGGCCCCTTGAAGACACGGGCCTTCTGGGTGATGTTGGATAAACTGAGCTCCATTATCAGTCTCTGTATTCGAGGGAGAAGGGTGGCAGTGATTATGACAGCGAGAGGCAGAAGAGCGAAATTCAGAAAAGTGCTTGTGTGAGAAAGACACGACCTGCAGATGCAGGCCTTCGATGAACCCGTGTGCAGGTCCATGTTGGAGAGTGCCTGTGCACACCCAGGTGAGACCCTGTAGGCATGTGTGAGTGTGAATACAAACGCCGAGAAGGCAGGAGCTGTGTCTCTCTTGCTCACTGCTGACGTTCCAGCACCTGGCACATGGTGAGTGATCAATAAACATTTGTAGAGCGAATGAATAAATGTGTGCTCATGTGTAAAAGTTAAAGTTATCTGTTTTCTAACTTGACAATCTGTTATTTAAGCTTTCTGTCCAGGAAATACATTGAGAAAATACTTGGCATCGCTATAGACACCCACTGTTCTTTTTTTATTTGTTTAAAAATTTTTATCGGTGAACAACATACGCGGAAAAGTGTGCACGTCATTCGTAGGTCTTAATGAATTTTCAAAAGATAAGCACTATTGGAAGCACCACCCAGGTGAAGAATCAGCAGAACATTTTCTGTGCCTGTAAGCTCCCATTTACCCTGTTCAGTTACTACCCTCTGCGTGTAACTGTCATCCTGTGTTCTAGCAGCACAGAAGACTTCTGCCTGCGCTTGCACTTTTTGTGAATGAAATTGTGCAACAGGTACTCATTTGCGTCTGGCTTCCTTCACTCAATATTATGTTTGTGAAAACCGTCCACATTTCCCAGGGACGTTCTAGACTGTATATTTTCATTTTTATATAGCATGTGTTGACAAATTTGTCCTGGAAAGGGCCAGATAGTAAAAGCTTTAGGCTCTGTGGCCTATACTATCTCTGTTATGACGTTCGTCTTTGCTGTCGTAGCACAAAAGCTGCCACAGACAATATGCAATGAACGGACATTGCTGTGTTCCCATAAATCTTTATTATAAAACAGAAAGTGGCTAGATATGACTGTGGGCTGGATTTGCCAATACTGCATGTGGGACACCTTTCTAGGTCCCACAATTTATCCAGTTTAACTCTAAATGGACATTTGGGTAGTTCTCAGTTTTAGGCTGTTACAAAGAGTACTGCTGTGAGCAGGCTTGCACATGTCCTTTGGTGCATATATCTTCATTTTGTTGGGTGTATACTTAGACGTCGATCTCTGAGTCATGGTATTGGTATGCATTTAGTTATAGGAGGTACTGACAAACAAGCGATTGTGACATTGCTGGCTCTTATTTAAGTGAGCTCTTGTTTTCATAGCACGTAACTGTTTTCTTTCTGCATGCTGTGCCTCGCACAGGCGCCACTTATTTCTGTCACAGGGACCTGCCCTCAGAGGCTGCA